AGTATTTATTTATCAAATAAATGTAAGTTTCTTCATTTGCATAGCTGTTATTAAATTCAGGTATTTACAAACAAGCCACAATACGAATGAGAAAACCTGAATAGACATATAAAGCAAGTACAGAGGTTTCATAACATGCATAGTACAGCAAGTATAATACAAAAAATACAACATGGATCTATTACATTAAGTACAATTAATCATGTGTGATTAATCCATATGGCTACAATCTCACCAAAGCATGGTATTCAATTCTTTCTGTGTAATTCAGAGCAAAGATTCTAGAAAGCTGCATTCCAATCAGCCAATCGCAAAACTGGGGGTCAGGAGATGGAGGAATTTCAGTCCAAGGGGTTTCAGTGCATTTCAGGAAGAATAACTTAACATTCCAGCACCACCTGTGCTGTGAAATATCGTGTTCTAACGTTGTGATCAGATAGTGAATGCGCAATTTTGTGTATGTAGAGATTGAAAACAGGTAATAGATTGATTTGATAGCTTGGAACTGAAATTTTCAGGTTGCCTTCAAATATTCAGACTTCATAGAGTTTCATAATGAAGAGACATAGTGAATCTCCTAATTAATTATCTTGGAATCACCTTGAGACCAATGGTGTCACTATTACTTTTCTAGTTTATGTTGTCTGAATACGGTATATTTTGGTGCATAGTCTTGGTTTGTGCCTGTTCTTGATCACTGGTCAACAATAAATGCATCTTACCTATTTAATTAGGTTTTGCAGCGGAATTAGCACAAAATAAGAAATTATATTCATGTGTGGAAGAAGGTAGAAGTGCATTAAGAATGATCAATACAACACTGGCATGATACTGCTTGGTTACACGCAACATAAGTTTGGCATCCCATCAGTTTGGCTGATGGTATTTCCTGAATTGACTTTAGCGTGTCACCTGGTAAATAGCTACATGAGTTAATTTTTCTGGCTTTCCCAGACTTGACTTTCTCCTCGTTACACTATGCGTCTCCACGATGACTCAGACTAACCTTCCAGAATTGACCCCTTAAACACAAGGGCCTAACTCATCTCACCCTGCATAAGCGATTCTGAGCCAAGCCGCATTTCTTCAATCCTCACCACACTCCTCTCCCTCCAGTATCATTCACAGCTCACGTCCATGGCCTCCCTGCCTGCATTCTGCACAATCTGAATCTTGAGCCTTGCAAATAAGCTTTTCCAGTCTGGAAAACACTTAATGACGAGGCTGCAAGAATAAATGTCAGTATTTATGTATGTGCATAGCTATTATTAAATTAAAGCAGAACTTCAGAAAATGCTTGTAAATAGAGCGTGTCACTATATTAGTAGCTGATCACTCAGTAGCGGGTTCTAGGATGAATGACTGCCAGAGGGCAGAGCGAAGGCACGGAACATCGAGGTGTAAATGAACAAATAAAGCTTCATTAATTAAAAATAACCCCGATGTGGATGAGTATCCTTTCATGAAGGGCAAACTTACCAATGGCAGTTCAGTAATTAAAGCACAGGAAGCTGAAATCGATATTTTGCCAGTGGCCACAAACATTCTTCTTGTTCCTTCTGGCACCAAAGGGCCGACAGGAGGTCACACGTCGGTACATGCAAAAAAAATATCGCAATGTCATATTGTAGCCTGGGGGGGCACCTATTTGTTTCTGCAGTTAAAGACTGGTGCTGTATGTTTGTGCTTATAACTGCACATCAAGAACGTGTGGTGGGGCTGGGGGTGTTTGAGGACTAATTGCCCTATAGTGCTCCTTCATCTGCCCCCCCAACTGCCCTATCCTCCTCCTCCATCTACCCCCATTGCCCTATCCTCCTCCTCCATCTGCCCCTCAACTGCCCTAATATCCTCCTCCATCTGCTCTAACCCCCAATTGCCCTCTTGTTCTTCTCCATCTGCCCCCAAATTACTTTATCGTTCTCCTCCATCTGCCCCAAGTTACCCTATAATCCTCCTCCATCTGCCCCCCCCAACTGCCCTATTGTCTTCTTCCATATGCCCCCGATTGCCCAATTATCTTCCTTCATCTGCCCCATCCACCCAATTGCCCTGTTGTTGTCCTCCATCTGCTTTACCCCCCAATTGTCCCATCATTCTGTTTCATTCCCTCTCTTCAGTCCATGTCTGTCTGTGTCCCACTCGCGAGTCTATCCACTTCTGTCCCTATCTCTTTCCTTCCTCTCGTATCCGTGTTTCTCCCTTTGTCCTACCTCTCACTTTTCTATCCATTTTCTCTCTCCGCTTCACCCTGACTCCATGGGACTTGCCATCTCCTCCAGCAGAGATAGCTGATGAGTTACCCCTGTGTCTATAATTAAATATCTACGTCAATTTTACCTCACAGCCCCTGGGAGCCAAGATTAGATATTACCTTTAGCCATTTTTACACACACACACCCGTTTACCCATCGGCGTCGTTAGGTACAAACACTTGGGGCTGTAGCCTCGAGTATCTTAGCCCCGGTTCCAATCCTCCTTAAAAAAAAAAAAAGTCAAACCCCAGGTAAACTTAACTTAACCCCTGATTTTTTTGATAGCTAGAAACTCCTCTGCCAGTACCTATCTAAATGGGGACCATTCATTCATTTCTATGGGAAAATCCCAGGTCCCAGTCAGGACACCCTTAACCCTGTCCCAGCCCCAAACTTAACCATAAGTAACCAACTTTCCACATTTTTAGCTATTTGATCGCATTCACAGATTTTTTTAAATAAAATTGAGGTTATCGAAATGGGGACCTGGAAAGATGTCCCCAAAAGTAAGGAAGTTTCAGGTTTTACCACACCATTTTGGTCCCCAAATGTGGTCTATGCAAACCCACACCAACACACACACACACAAACAGGTTTGTAATTATATCTCTGTGGAGACTCTCCATTCATTTCTAGGTGGAAAATTTTAATCCCAACATGACAACCTTAACCTCTGCCCCGCCTTAACCTTAACCATAAGTAACCAAAAAATAAAATTCAAGACTTTGGCATTTTTAGTTTTTTGATTGTATTCACATATCTTTGTGGGGATCAGAAAAATGCTTTGACAACGTCAAAAAAAACAGGTTTTTGTCACATTGTGGGGTATATTTGGTCCCCACAATGTAAAATGAACATAATCCACACACACACACACATCTAATTTTCTGGCATCTACAGTCACTCTTTAACCCATCATTGTCTTTTCTGGCTATTTCTTGTCTGGGAACGAGCTTCCCAGCTTCTTACCCTCTATCATCTTATGGAGTTCCTGCCCTTTTCTTGTGGCAGTACATCATCTGTGATGAAATCGACGTGGTGATGTCATTAAAACATTTATCCAGCCATGCAAACCTGTTTTAGGCAGGTAATATGCCAGAATATAGGTTTATTAAGCAAATGCGGATGTGGTCATCTAAGTGTATAAATACCGTTGTTGTGCGATTACATAGCAACTGTGCTACATCAGAGGAGCTCACTGTGTGAGAAGGACAGGGCTTAGGGCCAAGTGCTGAGGGCACTTAGTGGGACGAGAACAGGTGCCAAATGCTGTGATTGCATTACCTGTGAGGTCCAGGTTGCGAAAGTAACAGCTGTGCTTGAAAGACAAGGGCAATGAACAAAGATAGGACCAGTCGGAGCACCTCGGCCTCAGTATGGGATAGCTGCGAATTATTTTAATGCAGGGTTAGTCCAGCATTCCTGAAAGCAGCAGCCACAAGGCTGTTAAGGCTCCTGGCTTTATGCAGACCTTTCATCTTCATTTACCAAGGTTCCTATACGTTCCTTACGGTAACCTTATCTCCTAACTCACTTGCATGTTACACCTATACTTCCAGAGAGAGGCTGCCATTCTAGAAGCCAGTGCCTGAGTTTTTCCAAGCGTCTGACAGCCAGAGGACACCTAGGCTTTACTCAGCAGAATCAACTGACCCACTTCTACGGGTGGTTAGGGGGAGGAGGGAGCGGAGGGAGAGGAGCTCGACGCTGGGACTGAATCACCTGCAAAGACGAGGGTCTGATGGTAGCAGCTGACCATGAAGGACAGAGGATAATATAGCAGCAGTCAATCTGTCACGGCCAAAGGGAATACGAGGGCCCCAGAGCAAGTTCTTATTTGTTGCTAATATAGGAACTCTCAGCAACTCTTTGAGGACTACTGGCGAGGACAGGATTGTAGTTTCCAGGGCTTCACTCAAAAAGTCACTTTGGGGCATCCTACCCCTCTAGTGTATTGACTGTCTGTGGCCAACAGGGAACCGCAAACCTCGGGGTCCTCACATGAATGCATGTTTGGAGTAGCAGCAAACACCACCGCTGACCACTGGAACCACTCAGCATGGTGTAACGTGAGATGTAGACGCAAGAAAAAACAGCGAAAGGGATGGAATAACATCCCATCGTTTCCGGACAGTTTGCGGACATTTAAACATTTTTCCTCCCCATTTCTCATGATCTCGGATGCTCATCTGCTGACATGTAACTACCTGCTGCTCTCGGTTTCTAATGAGCGACCTGTAGGTCACATTGGTTGCCTCATGTAGCTTTGAAAAAATACACATATGCCTCATATCTCTGCATAAATAGAGGCGTCTTCATAGCTGAGTTCAGCGAGGCAGTGCTCCCTCTTACTCACACTAGGCCAAAGCTACATGTAAGGTTCTGCAGTTCAGGACGGAGGCTGCATTTCAATTTTTTCAGTTTCTTAGTGCATGGGACTTGACCTTACTAATATTAGCTGTGGGCTCATCAACCCTGTGACTATATTCCTTCCCACAAACAAATCCTGATACTGTTCTCCCTCATTTGCAGGCCAGAAGATCAGATCCAGCATACAGGAGTGTGTCCCTCTTCAAAACACGTGTAGAGCAGCCACATGACCATTTGCTGGTTATTCATTGCTTCTTTCACACCTTTGCCTCCCCTATTCCACTGGCCCATGTCCTCACCTGTCTCCCTAATCCTGGGCTAGGAGAGCAGAGCTCAGGGGCAGGACGCAAGGGAGGGTGAGGGTGGGGGTGGGGGATGGAGGTGGCGCTGGTCAAATTTGAGACCTTGAACGATGTCAAGATCAACATGGGTGAGAAAGGAACACCATCACCCCTGCCCAAGAAGACTTCCTTGTTGCAAGATGGGCCTCAGTGCAGCCCAAGCCACAAGCGACCACATACCCCTCATCAGTCGCCATACAGAGCCCGCCGGAGCATAACTGCTAACCCAGAGAAACTGCAGCAGCCAATGTCACCAACTAGGAGGGGGCGCCCAAGTTGCACTAGCTTGAACTCCAACTGGAGGCTTCTGCTGAACAGTGATGGGGCAGAAGGTGAGCGTCTCTTCGGCCAGCTGGCTAAAGAATACAGCGAGGATCTGATCATGAACAGGCTAGCACTAGACCATAGCAATCAGAAGGTCACCATAAACATTGCCGGCCTACGTTTTGAGACATGCCTTAAGACACTGGACCAGTTCCCAGAAACTTTGCTCGGGAATCCCAGGAAAAGGACAAGGTACTTTGACCCCATGAGAAACGAGTACTTCTTTGAACGCAACCGACCCAGCTTTGATGGAATTCTTTACTACTACCAGTCAGGTGGCAAGATCAGAAGACCAGCTAATGTGCCCCTGGAGATTTTTTCAGATGAGATCATCTTCTTCGAATTAGGTAGCGAGGCAATGGATCAGTTCCGGCACGATGAGGGCTTCATCAAAGAGATGGAGGTGCCTTTGCCATCCAGCGAAATCCACCGGCAGTTGTGGCTTCTGTTCGAGTACCCCGAGAGCTCCAATGCAGCCCGAGGCATTGCAATAGTGTCCATCTTTGTCATCATCATCTCCATTATCGTCTTTTGCCTGGAAACACTTCCAGAGTTTCGAGATGATGTGGGGATCTTTCCAACTTCCTTCCAGTTCTTCAACCACTCACAGAAAAGTCATTCCTTAGTCTTACCCGCAAATATAGTACCTAAAACCATAGCTTCCACACTCACCGATCCCTTCTTCTTAATCGAAACAGCTTGCATTGTCTGGTTTTTCTTTGAGCTCTGCATACGTTTCATTGCCTGTCCCAGCAAGAAGGATTTTTTCAACAACATCATGAACATCATAGACATTATCTCCATAATCCCTTACTTTGTTACCCTGGTGATGGACTTAACGACCAACATGGATACTACCTCTACCCAGAACATGTCTCTGGCCATCCTCCGTATTATCCGCCTGGTGAGAGTCTTCCGAGTTTTCAAGTTGTCCCGGCACTCCAAAGGACTGCAGATCTTGGGCCAGACGATAAAGGCCAGCTTGCGTGAGCTAGGCCTGCTCATGTTCTTCCTTTTCATTGGGGTCATCCTTTTTTCCAGCGCCATTTACTTTGCCGAGGCTGACGAGCCCAACACTCAGTTTAGCAGCATCCCGGACGGCTTCTGGTGGGCCGTGGTGACTATGACCACGGTGGGCTATGGAGACATGTGTCCCATCACCATGTGGGGCAAGCTGGTGGGAACCCTGTGCGCAATTGCTGGAGTGCTGACTCTCGCCTTCCCTGTACCAGTCATTGTCTCCAACTTCAACTACTTCTACCACCGGGAGACAGAACAGGAGGACAAGCTGCCCTTTCAGGACAATGCAGAGGTGTCTGGTACCACCAACAGACATGGAAGCACCACATCTCTGAACAAAGCTAATGCCAAAGTCCAATTTCTATGAATTAATTGTGATTTTTTTGTTTCCTTCCTTGTCAAACCCCAGACGTGGCTCAGGTGTTTCCTTCTTGTACCAGTTACCTAAGCCAAATGATCTCTGTCAATAAGCAATACAAAACACTTTGAATAATACTATCTCATGCAGGCATAAAGAGAGCAGAAAAAATCGAAATAATGCTAAGGTGTGTAGCAGTATAATGTTATAAGGGAAAAAGGAGAAAACAGAACTGATCTAGATTAACTGAACAGTTCCTAATGCTTTAATGTTGCCTAATGGAGAATGTAATGCACCTACTTAGTCAACATTGAGTTCCTGTTACATTAAACTCCATTGTGATTAATGCTTTGCTGAATAGCCTATTCTTCTGACCAACTTGATAAAAATAATTTGGCAACACTTTACTTGAAGCAGTCTACATAAGGGTGACATGTACCCATCATAAGAATGACATGACACATGTCATGCACATTAATGACACATTATTGATGTTTATGACTGTTGTCATAATGTGTCATTCAGTTCCAAAAACCGAACGACATATTATGACAACAGTGATGTTTATGGCAACAGTCATAAACATCAATAATGTGTCATTAATGTGCATGACATGTGTCATGTCATTCTTATGATGGTTACATGTCACCCTTATGTAGACTGCTTCAAGTAAAGTGTTACCAATCATTTTAAAGTCTTTGAAAAAAAAATGGATGCTTGCATGACATTGATTACAAATCTACATCATGTAGACTGAGCATGTTGTCCTACTGTTGAAGACAATTCAGCTGCAAGTCTGAATGTCACTGGGTGAGTTACACTGCGAGGTTGCTGGGGGCAAGACCACCGCACAGGTGTCAGAGACACTGGTTTCAATGGAGCAGGAATCTGTGTACATATAAACCACCTTGACTCACAATTAAATAATAATAATAAGTTTAGTTAGCTGGCTTTGACAGACACCCGTGACCCTGTAATTTTTTGGGTCTGCATTGAATCCCACTTCAAGGTGAACTGCCAGATTGACTCTGATGGGACTGAACTCACGAAATTACTGAAGAACGTCTATCAGAATAAATATGACTCACATGGAGTGAGTGGTAGCTGACAAGGTCGCCCTCGCAGATTCTCTGATCCTATCCTGTAAATCCCCATCTCATCCAAGCTCCTTCTCCTCCAACCATTTTTCCTGGGCCGGGTTAAACAAAGTCCACTCAGAAGGCTGAGATGTGGTTCCATACGTGTGTTTGGTCTCAGCATGACTGGTACAATGGTCTCAGTCTTAGAGCTGCTTGCAATTATTTATAGTTAAAACCTTCAGGGGTTGTAACTGGCATTACTTTTATAGGTATAAATTGTCTATGCATTTTATACGTACCTCCTTAGTCCTTTTAGTCAGACTGTGACATTGATTCTGTACCACTTTTGGTGCTGAAGGGCTCATTAAATACAGGCAGATATAAAAATATCCGAGACTTTGTGGAAGCACTAATGTAAAAAGGCAACATTACTCCTCTTCGTAAATGTATCCTTTGTTTTTTCATTTATTTGTGTTTTCTTAGTAAGTATTATTAGCACATTTCTGGTTTATGTTGTTTGCTACAAGTTGCGTAAAATTTGAACGTTTACATAAAGGTTTGAAGGACAGATTACTTACGTCAGTCAAGAACTACCTGTACATGGCTTGTTTTTATTTTAGCACTGTGGTCATGTTAAAAAATTACTTGATGTATAGATGTAAACCATGCTGGTTTTGTCCAGAAGCAGATATGAGCAGCAGTGGGTATGGTCAGAGCAAGGGGGGTGAGGTGGGAAACTGATCGGGTGAGGGGGGGCCAAGGCGGGATATACCGATGCAGCTGGAAACCCCATGCTCTCTCGTTAGCCATGTAAGACGGTGCCCCCCCCCCCACTATCAGTAACAGGTCTCTGCTTTCACTGTAACACAAGTGGCTCTCGGTTTCCCCATCCGAGACACCGTGGGGGTGGGAGGTGGGGGTAGGGTTGGAATCTGCGCCTCAGCTAGAGAAGCCTTCAGGGGAGATGTCGCTGGATGATGTGACCTCCACCCCATGTTGTATATACATCTCCCCATGTGCAGCTTGAGTACTCCTACTCCCCCATACTGCTGAGTCATGGTCCAGAAGACCATAGCAGTAAACGTACCACTGCATGGCGGGAGGAAGACACATTAATGAGCCGATTTGGTTCCACAATCCGACCCGCTATCCTGCGTGACCCCGAGACATGATCGGTTGACTGGGCAACACTAGCCGCAGGTGCCCTGACCGGGAGCGAGTCAACATGGAAAACAAAGGTGACAACGGACGCGGCGGGGCAGCGGAACAGCGCCGGGCACTTGTCTGCGGTGCACCTCCTGCATCTGAGAGTGAAAGGGGAGCGCAGCAGGAGCTGGACCGGGCCAGACGTGACCCTGAAAAGCGATTCTGGTGGTGGAGGTGGCAGGTCAAGGGAAAATCACAGGGCTGACAGACTCCTGACAGATTCCTGGAGAAAGTCAACAAAAAGAACTTATCAAATCGTTATTAACATAAAACTAATTGAAACGTATAAGAAACTAATTACATATTTACATCATTAAAACCTGTAAAAGACTCAAGCATTTTTTAAGTACAAATTATCTATGCAATGGATAATCATGTAATTATATTATTTATAAATTAATTATTATATATTTTTTTAAACAGGAGTTTTATAAGTCAAGTAAAATTTATGCACATATAATACGCATGTAAATGGAGATGTTTAATTTAGATGTGCAATAGAAGAGTTTTGAATGACCATTATTGTAAAAATCTGCTGAATGACCAAGCTTCCAGGAATCTGGGTGACAATAGACTGGGTGGTTGTCTACTAACCTTTTGAGAAAAAGTACTCTTGCAACACATAATATTCACTATATGAGCTCAGTTTGGCTCCAAAGAACACGTTTTGTGAACGTCAAGTTCCATTAGACGTCACCTACAGGTCACACAGAGGCAGCTAAGCTATGAGGAAGGACTTTGGTAAGACAGCAGCCACCTCCAGCAGCATCTGATCATCTGAGATTCAGCCCAGTCTCTGATTCTCTGATTCATACAGGATGTATCTAGACAGGCAAACAAAATGATTTTATCCATCTGTTGGCCCGCACATGGAGCACCCTACTCTATCCATCTCATAAGGAATTACCTTATACTTCACTCTTCTCCTATCCACCCAACACAAATAAGCTTCATTGCTCCTAGAATGAGTCAGGTATATTCAGTTGGCTATGTTCTTCAACTGAGGTCAGTTTGATCCACTCCATCAGCTAATCATTAGTCTCAAAATAAGCTCTCCTTCTGGGAGGTTGGGTGATGTCTAGGGTATTACTATGAGTTAGTTCTCCTCTCAGAATAGACCAGTTAAAGTTCTTCAGATACGACACAGAACAAATTCTTTGCTTCTCTTCATCTTCGCCGGTCACCCCTGGTAGGACGCACCTCAGAAATGCAACAAAGACATTCTTGAATCTACAGAAAGTCTTCATTACACAGCTTACCTTGAATTACCTTGACCATAATATCGGATTCTCTCTATAGTCTTTTATCAGTCTGCCAGTCAGAGATTTATGGCTTGTGACCTTTCAGGGATGTTTTGATACCTGGACAAAGCCTGGATTCTATACAGTCTGATGGTCACACACAATGGGAATACATTCAATATTCAACAGGACGCTAATGAGATTTGCAATGTCTTGACACAAGTTTATAATGGGGTCTGAGATTCAAAAATGAGATCACGATAGAACAATAAACACCCCCCAATTCTACAGACAACCCCAAACACATCTTCACAAAGAAGAATCCAGTATGGTCCTAGCCTGGAACTTTCTGTCAAAGCGACCTCGTTAAAGATGGATGCTTGCTATGCATCTTTTAACACTTGGCAAGAATCACGATGGAACTCATCACGATGGGCTTCAGCTCCACTACTCCACAAAGGCATAAGTAAAATCATAATAAACAACAATGGAACATTATGGATAGAGGAGGAAGGAAAGGAGCATAGCTGATGAGAGCTGCATCTACAATCCTTACTCTATAAACCAGTACAAACCTCACGAGGCCCTCTAAACCTAATCCTAACCCCAACCCATCAGGTCAAACGGACAGTAAATATCAGAGTCGTATCCAAGTCATCGTAAAGCAAGTGACTCTGTGTCTCCTGTCAGACAAGCAGACATTGTTGTGGACAAGAAATTGGCCTCACGTCTGGCTGCAGATTTGATTGAATTGGTGAAGGGCTGTAGTCGCACTCCCATGGTGCAGAATTAGGCACTAAACAGAAAATCCCTTCAGTAAAATGATCCATGTAAAATGTGGGGGGGAATATGATCCTACCGGGGAAACACGTGAGATAAATGAATTTTCTAAATCCCAAAATGCATAAATATAATATTAAGTAAATGTAAAAAAAAGATATTTTTTCAGGTACTGTGGTCAAATGGGTTTATTTATTTATTTTTGGGTTAATTTTGAATTTAATTTCTGTCCTGCTACGTGCTTTAAAATATATGGATTACTGGGAAGAGTTTAGAATATAGTTGATTAGCAATTTAAGGATAACAGTGGTGGACAACAATAGTATTTACATTATATTGTATTAGAGTAAATATATTAATTTATTTGCAAGACGATGCTACACCAAGTGCTTCATGTTTAATTTATTTCTAGGTTCTGTGAGTCCCAGAAGTCCTTCTTATAGGTGACAAGGTGTTGAGACATTATGTCTCCATGAAACCTAGCAGGTTCCATTAGAAGGACAAGCATTGTTTGACGTGAAACTGCAACTTTGTACACATCAGCGAGTTCAGCCCTGAGCTACGGCTGTTTTGGCCGAAAAGGCAAATCATGGGGGGGGGGGGGGGGGGTTCTCCTCCTACTTGATGGGCGCACTTGGTAGGAAAGTCAGGGTCCCACTCAATGAAGAGGAAAAGTAATTTTACTTATTCTACATAAAATAAA